CTGAGGATCCCCATGGCGTATGCTTGCAGATCGCATATGGCATATGCTTGCAGATCACGTATGCTTGCAGATCACATATGCTTGCAGATCGCATATGGCATATGCTTGCAGATTGCATATGCTTGCAGATCGCATGTGCTTGCAGATTGCATACGGCATATGCTTGCAGATCGCATATGGCATATGCTTGCAGATCGCGTATGCTTGCAGATCACATATGGCATATGCTTGCAGATCGCATATGCTTGCAGATCGCATATGTTTGCAGATTGCATATGCTTGCAGATCGCATATGCTTGCAGATCGCATAATGGCATATGCTTGCAGATCGCATAATGGCATATGCTTGCAGATCACATAATGGCGTATGCTTGCAGATCGCATAATGGCATATGCTTGCAGATCGCATAATGGCATATGCTTGCAGATCGCATAATGGCATAGGCTTGCAGATCGCATAATGGCATAGGCTTGCAGATCGCATAATGGCATAGGCTTGCAGATCGCATAATGGCATAGGCTTGCAGATCGCATAATGGCATAGGCTTGCAGATCGCATAATGGCATATGCTTGCAGATCGCATAATGGCATATGCTTGCAGATCGCATAATGGCATAGGCTTGTAGATCCCATATGCTTGCAGATCGCATATGGCATATGCATGCATGCGCATATACATAACATATTGCATATCGCATATCGCATATCGCATATCGCTGCATATGGCATATGCTTGCAGATCGCATATGCTTGCAGATCGCATATGGCATATGCTTGCAGATCGCTTATGGCATATGCTTGCAGATCGCATATGCTTGCAGATTGCATATGCTTGCAGATCACAGATGGCATATGCTTGCAGATCACATATGCTTGCAGATCACATATGCTTGCAGATCATATATGCTTGCAGATCGCATATGCTTGCAGATCGCATATGCTTGCAGATCGCATATGCTTGCAGATCGCATATGGCATATGCTTGCAGATCGCATATGGTATATGCTTGCAGATCGCATATGGCATATGCTTGCAGATCGCATAATGGCATATGCTTGCCGATCGCATAATTGCATATGCTTGCAGATCGCATAATGGCATATGCTTGCAGATCGCATAATGGGATATGCTTGCAGATCGCATATGGCATATGCTTGCAGATCGCATATGGCGTATGCTTGCAGATCGCATATGGTATATGCTTGCAGATCACGTATGCTTGCAGATCACATATGCTTGCAGATCGCATATGGCATATGCTTGCAGATTGCATATGCTTGCAGATCGCATGTGCT